TGCAAGTGCGACAAATGCGTTTGTGACAGAGAAGAAGCATTATGTATTCCACCACTATAAGAGAGCAATAAATCCTCTCTCACGTCAATTATTTCAACTGTTGCAATTGCATGAAGATCTGAATACAGTAAGCTAAAGCTGTCTAAGGCTGCCTTCCACTGTCGCCATGGGTCACAACTAGTTGTTTGAATTTTCTGCCCCTTGTGAATGTACAGCTTCTACCACTTCTACGATCCTAATCTGTGTGTGCATACAACAGATAAACCTTTGAGCCCTTTTATAAGCCTTTCATGGTTTTCAGTCTAACAGTGTCAAATATTTGTAGTTAGTGGTGGCAGTGTCACCATAGACGCAGCATCGCTTGTGTTTGGCAGCTGGTTCAAAATGTGCCAAATTTACGCCACTTTCATCTGTCGCGAACTGCCTATATTTTCCTTTTTTCCGGTTAGTGGTGTGGAAGGCAGTAGAAGCCCTTTTTCCGGTTAGTGGTGCGGCCCTGAATTGAAATAGGGTTGACCGAACATTTCAACAACCAAGATGACCGACCTTCTTGTGTGTTCGGATCTTAGCATGTCATTTACGTGCACTCCACCAGCTCTGTTAACAACTGAGCTGGAGTGATGAGTTCATTTTCAGTTCCCTTGGAGCAGCTATCTGCTACTACTGCTTCAGGACCCTATGCTCAAGGAAGTTATGCAGTCTTCATAACATATGATTGGTTTTTCGTTTTCTTCTTGAAAAATATCGTTTCTGGCGCGAATTCAATTCGATAAACCTTGACAAAATCTGAACCTTGGAATTTCCCTTCACTGAATGCTTTCACTGAATTGTTATTTCCGTTTGATATCACATGCAAAAAAAATCTCTGCACCAACAACACAGTAGAATACATCACTCAAGTCAAATTCAAAAATAAGTAAACGAACATTCTACGAAAACAAAGCTCAGTCGTATGAGCAGCAAGAGATTCTAGATGAGTTGATTTGAAAAACTTCATTAAGGACACCTGCACGATCTAACAAATAGCAAGACAACTTTGTGTACTTCTTAATTATGCCACTTTTTTCCTATAGTGAATCTATACACTAAAGTTGCATTATCTATGAGCTTCTTTTGTTCTTAACCTAGAATCGTTCACTGTAGATACTATTCCTCTTCATGCCATCCATGCACATCAGCACAGATGGAAATAGTATAGTAGCGCCGCACAAAGACGTTAGTCCAAGTGTGAGTAGCATGCAGCCAACCTGGAATTGACTTATTTATGACAATTCCAAGTGTTAAATTAAAGGAAAAATTAAGCGTCCTGTTGAAACTTCTTCACTTACTTGAGCGAAAGCAGCCGTACTTGCAAACAGCATAGGAATTCCACAGAGAATAGAGCTGGTGGCACTGAGAATACATGCTTTCCCAGCAGAAGAAAGACAGAAACTGCAACGTGAACTTCAAGTCCTATGGATTTGCTTAAAAAACTTGAATCGATCTACCAAGTTCGCTCCAATCATTACACGAGCCTTACCGCCCAAAAGATTTTTCGTATAGGAAAATCCGTTTCTAAACCATGTCAACCACACCTTATAGATTTGTAGGCAACCCTTGTTAGTTTTACAAGCTGTTCACGAAGACCATTCTAACCCGCATATCGCGAGCATTGGACGAGGCACAACATGTGGAGCAGCACGGAAAGGATTCAGCTGCTTAGACCACATCCAAGCGGTCGCAATGGCTATCGAAGTGTGCCGAGAATTTCAAATGTTTCCTGTCCTTACCTTTGTTGACTATGAAAAAGTTTTTGTCAGCGTCGAAACGAATGCGGTCTTGTCAGCACTGATCGATCACGGAGTGGACCCTCCCTACATAAGAACACCAGCTGACTGCAGTAGTCGCTGCAGCGCGACGGTGAAGCTGTTCCAACGTCCTCCTCCACTCCCATTAGGGAGGATGTGAGACAAGGCGACTTCGTCGAAGCTGCTCACAACCGCGCTACAGTAGGTAACGAAGTCGATAAACTGGGATGAAAAGGGCATTCGTGTGGATGGACGGTTCCTCTCAAATCTCTGCTTTGCGGACGACATCACTCTTTTCGAGCAGCGTTGCGGAAGCCGAGACTATGCTTGCTGAACTGATCAAAAGGCAGAAAGCAGCGTGGGCAGCCTTCGCACCTATTAAGGAGGTCAACAACCATCTGAATGACACGAAAATTCACGCTAATCTCTTCGATTCTTTCTGCGCTCTGTTACGGATCGGACATTTGGGTGGGCAGTGCATCCACTTCAAGAGCTTTGAGTACAAGCCACAGAGCGCTAAACGATGCTTTTTGAGGTTCACCGGCTCACTCAATGTTGAGCCGCACTCCGCAGCTCCTATAAGCACAGAATGTCTCGACTCCGCGATCCGGCGGAATACATGGAAAACGCAAAGTTTTAGTGGGCCGGTTATATGATGAGGAGAGATGATTACAGATGGAAAGAAGAACCGTCGTGCGAACTCCCGCAGGGCCTTCACGATCTAAAGGTAGGCCTGCTGCGAGATGGGGTATGTGAGCGTCGATCACCTGAAACAGCTGCAGAGGCACCTGAACGACACCTCACACCGCCGTTCCCGTCGAATTCTGAGTCTGCCGTGGTTTGCGATCGCGAAAGACAGAAACGAATAATTGTTGCTGGTGGTCGCACATGAGTCACGACGAGCCGTATAAGTGATATATTGATCGGCATCATTGTTTCTGCAAATATCCTTACTATATATAAGGCGCTCTATCTGTCTGTCTGTCTGCTGTTTGTACGGAAATTCGATATAACGTGAAGTAACACCTCTAGAAATCGGGTCAAATTTGGAATGTATCGAGCATAGGGTAAGTGTAACAGAGCACATGCGAGCCTAGCGGAGTCCAGCGAGTGGGGCATGCGCCGGAATTGGGCAGGGCAAGTTGTTATCATTCGGTCTCATAACAGTCCAGGCGCTGTGAAAAATGTGCAAAGGTGAAGGGTGGGTCCAGCAGTTAAAATAAAGGAAACTTACTGGCGGTGGGCGGAGCGTTGTCGCAGTGGGCGATACTTTCCACAGAGATTCATATCTCGATTCAGCGAAGGCGTCGAGGCGAGGTAAAAAAATAAAAAGAGTGAGGAAGGCTTCATGCGTGCCAAGCATGCGTAAGCTTAGCGAAGCCCGAACACGATGGGCGGGGCGTGCGTTGAAGTGAAAGCTACTTTTCAAAAATGAGTGTAACTTCGTTCGGAAACGTTCTAGCATGCGGGAAAAAGTTGTTAGTGGTAATAAAACAATTGTGGTCAATTCTCGAAGTGGGCGGGTTTGACACCAAAGTGGGCGGGGATTGGATCGAAATTTCTTGACTATGTTCAGAAACGTTCTGGACACGGGAAAAGGGTGGTTAGAGATAATAAAACAAATGTGGTCAAGTCCTCGAAGTGGGCGGAGCTAATACAGGAAAGCTGTACTGGGACCAAAAATTCATATAATCGAAAACTTTCTAGAATAGGGAGAAAATGGTTAGGAGCAGTCAGAAGAAGCGTTGTCAAGTTTATTGTAGAAAGGATTTGCATTGAGGTAGACGGAGCTACGATCAACCACTAATAATTCTGCTCAAATAAAATATATCGAACGTGATGCTCTAAGCAGCTCAGCGGTCAAACCTAGAGAGATCTATCTTATTCTGCTTATCCAACATTCCGCTGAGTAACTCTATGGTAGACAGTAGGCGGGCGTCGACATACATATATTGCTCGCGTTCGCGTGCATAGCCCATATGGTATAGCATATGTGAGTATCTCCTTTGCACTTCACTACAGTTTCAGAAAGAACCCTTCTAGCTTCAATACCACCTTTCATAAGGCATAAAGCAACGAACCTGATCCGTGTTTCTATCTCTTTTTCACTTTCGTCCCGATATGAGACAGCAAAATGAAGAGTGAAATCAAAGCTGAGGCCGATGGTGAGCACAATAATTGTCGACTCCACAACACTCAACTCCCACCCTGAAAATTTTATGTACAATATACATATCTGCATGAGCAAGGTCTGAGCAGGAAGAAATCTAGTTTTCAGCGCCTTATTAATATCTTGTCAAGGATGAGTCATACTCGTTCAGAGTTCTATCAGTGGCCTACTGTTCTGGACTACACTTCGAATAGGGTTCATCTTTGACATCGACAAGGATTCTGAATAATCAGGGCCATTTTTGACACTGTCGAATTTTTCCACAAAATCGTCTTTTTATTAGTGTCCCTAATATTATTCTGGCATTTTTTGTTCACTGCTTTACACAATATACATTCCCGCTACAGCATTCTTTATTAGGTATTCTCGTCAAACGTATTCTTATCTATCTATCTATCTATCTATCTATCTGTCATATATATATGTACATATATATATCTTCTATTTACTACTACTGAATCTAATCTATCCAAGCCCTTTTGGCCTTCAAGGTAAGACTGAGGATGTCGGTTTTTCAAATGTCAAAACATGCGCCAATGATCCATTACTTCCGCTATTTATGTTTAGTTGACTGCGGAGAGTGTTACTTGCTCTTCGATTATATGTACTATTATGAACATATATGTATGTGTTAATAGACCGTTCAACGATCACCACGAAAAGATACACCCACCTAAAAGTATGAGTACGGCGGTGGTCGAAAGGATGACACATGTAATGACGGCGGTACTCACTAATGACAGAATCAAACGACGCGTGCATACGATGACGACCAGCAAACTTACAGCGACCGAGATCGCCACTGCGAACAACGTTGAAGACCAAAGTGTTGCGATAATATCGTAATATTTCGTGATTTCTGATGATGATAGGCACATAATCTTCAAATCTGAAATGAGGCTGAATTTTGAACAGACTGCAGCCAAATCACGCAGAAAAATGAAATGCCCGCATAGTTCAGAAAAATGGAACCCGATTCAGCACTCTTTCGATTCCAAAAACAGCTTGCAAAGTAGATAAGAGCTTTCTAGAAAAAAAAGGAAGTAGGTCTAGATTCCATCTACAGATTTCGCCCGATTATCTCAGAGAAGCAGAGAAACCTGGCTGTGACGTATTGTCTGCTTCTTGACGACAAGGAAGAGCAAAGATTGGAGATCAGATCAGCTAGTCTGAAAAGGCTCGCACTGACTGCGCTTATACTAGCTGACGTCTATACTACACTAAAGGTGTGCGTGGAAGGTAGGGCCTGCTTTGTGGTGGCCGTCGGTGGCACGATCCGTTGATCACTGTCTCGCAAAAGGATAATTAATAATTATAGTCGATAAATGGCTTTGCACTGATCATTTTGGAAGCGTATCAATTGCCGCTTTTTCCACGCCCTTGACGTATACTATTTAGTTGTAGGTTTCACGTGCAACACTCAGTAGTTTCATTCGGTTCGACTTCGCTCCTTCTGAATCACTTTATAGTGACATTTTAGCTTTCATGACGTGAAGTGTACGGATACAGCACTCCATCAGACTATGTACTGCGTGAGAGGTGTGCAAAGTCTAGACAGGAGAAATCACCCTCTATGATCTGCAAAGGTCGTTGAGATGGTGTCAGTTGATAAAGACTTTTGCATGTAGCCAAAACGATTTGGCGCATTACTACTTGTGGAATAGCGGACAAAATTTTTGTGTCAAATCCACGACCATGCGATGAAACTTGGAATGGACAATTCAATTTCTTGAAAGATGGCGCACCATTGCTGGATAAAATGGAACATATGTTGTCCAGTTACCGAATATGTTCTTTGTGAAATTGCTAGTTCTAGTCGACCTCCAAATCGACGGAAACTTGCCGAAAAATCCAATAAAAAAGTATAGACTCTAAATCTGCTTTCACAAAGACTTACTTTTGTCTCCTTCCATAATTCTCTTGCAATTAATCTCTGTCGTGTGAGCAACATTTTCAATCTCCACGGAGTCTAGCGATAACGTTCTATTCGAAGGAATGGCTACGAAATAGCTGAAACTTCCACGTACACATGTAGAATATAAGCAATGTGGCAAAAGTTGGTGAATTATCAAGAATGGGTATCCCGAAATTCCTAGAAATGTGAACGAATGGTACCAGCTTTCGGCTCAATGTTGATGGTTTCATCAAGCCAGTCAGCGAATAAATAGGATAATGAAAACTTGGGGGAATGGATAAACTAGAACTTTTTTCCCTGAATTTGTGCGAAGGACTACTCACCCTATTAATATTAGATTCTTGTTGAAAATTGGCCCATCGCTTGGCTCTACGGCGAAATCTTCAGGAAACGGTGATGGAGGGTCGTGAGCTGCGTATGCGAGAAAACACGATGATGGTATGGATTGCTTTTTCTGGAAAAAGTTCAGATTTGACGGTTTAGTAAGGTTTTTCACTGGATATTGTCCGATCACTGCAAATTCTGAGCGGTATCCTACCTCAGAGAACATACAGGAACTGTTCGAAGATAGGAATCGAGCTGCCCATGATACATATTTGGGATTGCCTCGCTGTTTTATCAGCATATCAACAGTGTTCTGCAAAAACGTATGCTAAACAAACAGTTGTCATTGTAACTCTCGACTTAACCATAGTATGGTCTCAGGTTAGGAGCTTTGAAGGCTGTGACGACGTCTGCATTCCTCAACTCCTGAAAACATGTGAAAAAGAAGGCTCAATCAAAGCTGGGAACTTTCAATAGTCAGGAGAGGATGCTGCAGTGAGTTGTCACTACCTAGGAGCTATTGCTACAGAGTAGTGCATCTGTGGAGAATAGTTTGGCGAAGAATGTGAAGAAACTCGCAGAACTTGCGAAATCGAGGCATCCTGAATGTCATGCGAACGAGCCGCACCCGGCCCTCTCAGGTATCTGACCACGACGAGTTTTGTGCAAGGAATTTTGTGAAATAAAGCTATAAAAATGGATGTGGAAAATCACCTTGATGAAGGTCAGGGTTGCTGAGTTCACATGAAACTCTTTGAATGGAATTGCAAGTTCTTCGTATGGGCTCAGCAAACTTATGCGCCTAAATGGAAAGCTTTCTAGGATTTCCAGCTTTCTGACATTTTATTGATTTTTTGACTTACTTTTCTCCATTCACACCTAGCACATAGTTTTCCATGAGTTTCCATTTTCGTTTCCAGTCAAAGTTGAACATATGTGCATTGTTGTCATACCATTCATAAGGATGGGAACTGATGAGCAACTGGAGTTCTAATTTGAAGTGTCTTATAGGAGCCGTCCCAAAAGGTTTGTAATGCACTGAGAAAGCAAGGACTTACCTTTGTGGGATTGTATCGTGGCATATTCAATCCTGGTGATACGAATATAATAATAGAAGCGGCTATAGTAGCGGCAACACCCAATAAAAGAACGAAGAAGCGGCTTCGGTAGAGGAGCCGAGAAAGTTTCGGGGCCACATCTATGTGTGGGACGAAACGACTGCGTTTTCGCGAACAAGTTAGGACCATAGCGCTTGGTAGTAGCAGCACTACGAGAATGTAGTTAGCCGTCATGGTCAGAGACGCAAATATACCAAAGCACCTGGAACTCTTGACATAAATTGCAAAAAAAAAATCATTTCTCTGATACATCATCCATTCACCATAATTTTTATTCATCATTTACCGTCGTCTAGGGCGACGATTCCCAGAACTATTTCGTCGTCTCACCGTCTGAGGCGTTTCCCTAACTTAGCCTCCGCCCCTAAAGAGGTCAAGCGGGACAACAAAAAGCGTGGTCCCCACTTCTACCTCTAACAACGTTAAGGGCGAAACGTAGGTTCTGTACTTTGATAAAACCTTATTTATTATTCCTCTGTGTTTCACTAGCGGGTAATATCCGGGGTAATATCCGCGCTCATTATTTACGTAGCAACCGGAGTCCATAAAAACCACTGAACCGCCAGCACATCATTCGTCACCATCAAAACAACCATTATGAAATACCACTACCCTTGATTAGTACCTTGCAACTGACTGAATGGAATTTTCGCCGACCTCATAATCCCGATAAGTGGAAGATGGAAAAGATGGCGGTGATTGAAGCTAAAGAGATAAAGGATAAGTCCATTTTAGAGTTCAACAATCCTGTTTTTGGGACCGCCCCTTCCAGCTCTCGAACCTTGGGCCATGCATGTGTGCGCCACTTGTCATTGCATACATCACCTCCCCCAATTGATGCAATCACACCAGCTCGTTAGTGATTGGAATCAGTAAATCAGTGCACGAGCATAGGTTTTGTGATATTGAAAGCAGTGAATTTAAATTTTATTATGTACTTATCGTAATGATTGCTTATAGTCATGCCCGCTGTAGGGTTCTATGGTTTTTCCAACAAAAAGGGGTACACTCTGCACTTGATCAGGTTTTTCGAAGCCACATTGCCCCTGGGACGCAGGACTTTAATAGCTATCTTGAAGCAGCCCATGTACCGCTTTTTCTGCAACAAGCAACTCTCAAAATCACCCAACCTTTCTACTTCAGAAAAAAGTCATTCAGCTTCCCACACACGACGCTTCTACTCTCGTAAATTCCTGACCTCAAAGTTGCTGATTTTAGCTTTCAGATCTCCGTTAATCCCTTTTTCATACAAGATCAACGAGGGATACCGTGAAGAGTAGAAAAAAAGTAAGACCAGGCCGTACTGATGTGCTAAAGCTGATCTCTTGCGGCTTGCTGGCGGCTGAGATTTCTTTACAACTTCGCTTCGATCAATGTCCTTTCCAATCAATCCTGTCTTGGTGACCATGACTTGAGAAGTTGAATGGTTTGGACGAGTTGCCCGCACAAAAACTGCGTTGTATAGGCGGGGCTCCGGTGACTTGCGGGGGGCATGTAAAACTAACAATGGGCACACATAACTGGTGCTTCATCAACTCGCAAAAGTACCTGGGTCTTGCAAAAGTAACTGGCCTTGAATTCTGTGTCCCAATGTCTATACGAAGAAGAGGTATAAGTTCAATCATACCGGATAACAATGATTTCGCTGGTGATGTTCGAGACGAAAGCTACAGCTGTGGTTGCTGAAGTGACGAACATTGACGAAAGTGAGTGACTTAGAGAATTCCGAACTGCTCGAACCACTCGATCGCGTTCTTTGTAAAGCGGAACGTACGGGTCACCAACTTGATATGGCTCCTCCTTTGCCTCAACACACACTTTATTACTTTGTAGAATCACAATTACCAATAGAATAAGAAAGCCGTAGAGTAATGCTTTCGTGGCTCCATGATTGGAGGACTTCTCTATTCCCAGTATTCAATTAGAATATTGTTCGTAACTTACGTCTTGAACTCGAACAAGGTTCATATAGAAACTTATTCGCTAACTGTTTCACTTTATCCCCCATCCAGAGAACGAAGTGGGTGGGAAACTGTGGAAGGTTGAAATTTTGGACTAATTGACCTACGTTCCTGCAGTCATACTGGAGGGCGAGACCCTCAGGGCACGCACGTAATCAAAAAAGGACCACTTCCCTTACCTTCGTGATCTCCCCGGAATCACAAAGCAACCAATAGTGGGACCGGTACACCTAGACTAAGGTCGATATTAATTAAAAGCTTTTTTCTGCTGTTGTTTTTCGATTGATATTCTGTATCCGAGAGGCTTCGAGGATTTTGGGCAAAAACGCGACTCCTGTGATACCAACTCTCCACCAACTACCTCAAAAACACCTCCTTCATGGTTTCGAATGCGGTTCGTCTTCGAGGCAGTGGACTCTTTTAATCTATTTATGCCGCTCAAGTATTTTTTGATCCCCGAGTAGAACTGTCTTGCCTTCCTTGAATGTACTTAGCCTCACAATAACGGCAAGTGATCTTACAAGTTACCGTAGACACTGTGCAATCACCCTCCCTATCAGCTAGCTAGACTATAAGTTTAAGGGCTCAGTTCACGATAATTTTCAGGTGCCCGTTTTTATTCGAGGCGCGGAAGAATAACTTGGGAATAGTTCATAGGTAGTTAAGAAAGCGCGAGAATTCGCCCAATTCGAAAAAAATAAGACTCCTCAAAAGTAGTGGAAACAGGGGATGGCCGAGGTCACCATGACGGAAGTAACATGAAAGGGGAAATCGGACGAGATTTCAGCTGTTGCAATTGCGCAAAGAGCTGACAACATCAAGCCAGAACTGTACAGAACTATAATACCTTCCACCTTCACTAGGGGTCAAGACGGATTGTTTAATCTCCCTACGCTGGCTCCCTTGTGATTGGTGCAGCCTCCACAGCGCCGGTGAATTTCGTCCGAGGACATACATGGTGCAATTTAGAGCATCTATAACTCCCTGACTAGGCCTTTTTCCGACCTGACAGTGCCACATATGGTATCCGAGGGGACCTTGAATTCATCCTATGGGAGAATTTTAGAAACAATTACGTTGTGAACTGTGCCGTTAAGGTGTTACAGAGGCGATCGTATGGCTGGCTCCGTACCGGGCGTTGCGCAACATTGAAGGGTGATAAGTTTGTAATAGCAACCGACTTCTCTTCACACCTAACCTGAGACACTTTCCAATGTTAGCACTGACTCCATCAAGAATGGATAACCCTTCAAAGAATCTTTTCCCTATCACTGATATACTAACATGTTAGAAGACAGCTTCATATTGTGCCAACTCGAATTCGACAGCTCGTAGATACAGTCAAAACATTGTTTCAATGTGCGATTTCCTCTCTACAGACTAGCCCCATGTTCGTAATGTATTACTTGCTTGCTCACCTTCCTAAACCTCCTGTAGTAAACAAGGAGAAGAAAAGCGTCATCCGCACCAACGGCTATCATCAGAACCAGAACAAGCATATTCAGCGATGGGAAAAAGTCGATACGGAAGATGACCTCAAAAAGACTGACTTTATAGACTCTGTCTGCATTGAATTCTTAGAAAAAATGAAATCACTCGATTAAGGCTTACCGTATAGAAGAAGAAGGCGACTCCCATTGAAAGGAATATTATCATCAGTATAATAAAGGTGTATAGGAAACTGCGTGAGTAGAAAAGAAAGCAGAAAAGAACCAAGACGGCTGAAAAAATTCTTGGATAATGTGAGCCTTGAATCTTGAAATCGAGTGTCAAGGAGTACGTTGCCTCGTTTGTGGGCTACAGTCAAAGCAGAGCTCAAGCGCTCAGTGTGAGGATTCTATCTCTTCATTCCCTCAAATACATAGCGGGCGAAACGTTAGTTATCATTTTTTGAAGGACCCCATTTTTCATTTTCTTGTCATTCCTGCATTCAAAGAGCTAATTAATGTGAAGAAAAGAATAAAAGAACTGACCAAAATCTTCAGAATTTCGGGCAACCTTGATTCCGTTGAAGGTTTTCTGGACCCTCGCGAAGCCGCCATCCCGGAATGACTTAACCCCTAACCGAGTCTTCCCTATCACGCTTCTAGAGATAAGTAAGCTCATCGGGCAGTCTCAAAAGATTGGGAAAATAGCTCCTTGATTTCATTTCGTCAATTGCTGTGCCAGAGAAGTAGAGCCTGTTGTCACTTTGACAACTCCACTATTAGGAAGGATATGGTCACATTCCTTACCTGATACTGCTGCTATTTTGGTGTCATCTTGAAGCGCATGTAAAAACTCGGCATTTTTCTCATTAAAAAATGCCCCTTTCAGCACAATATCACCAACAAAGTGATTTTCAAAAGCATCAAGAAGCGTTCTATAAAAATCGTAACTTCCCACACGGCCATCGCTTGCAGGAATCTGAACAAAAACAGTTCCCTATTCAGCGCTCCAAGACTAACAAGAGCTTGAAAAACCCACTTTGAGAAGAACAGCTACATGGCGCTTTTTGTTACTCATGCTCCCTGGCAAGAGATAATTGTTGACTTGCTGAATCAATGGGTTACACACTGGTTGTAGTGGATCCTGGCGGCATATCCGTACTGCTGATTGCAGCGTAGCAATACTAAAATCGGCAAACTGTGATCAATCTGTAGTCCGGGGTTAGTCTTTGCTAAGTTCCACTTGAATTTTTAAAGGGATGGAAATGATTCAGGAGTTCAGCAGAAAAAAATTATAGAAGCAGTAAAAGAAAGAAACTGTGCAGGGTGTTCTTGCAATGGCAAGCATTGAAAAAGGCACTCATCCATACACACAGATCCTTAATTATCGATCAGTGAAATGCCTAACGTCTTTTATAACCAACGTTAACCTTCACTCTCCTTCTTCATCATCTCAAAAGGACTATTCACGAGAAAAATGGTCTTTGAAGTATTATACATATATCCCTCCTCCCTCCCTAAATCTATGACCTCCTCTTATGCCAAATGCGTCATTGTCAGAAAGGAAAACGGTCTAGATGAGACGTTATAGCGACCCAAAGATTGTATTGATTCTATGCCACACCCGATTGAGGCCGAGTTTTTACGGCGCTGCAGAAGCTGCTTCATTCACAAAAGTCCATGTTGGAAATCCAAGTAGGAAGTCGTGATCCTGTAAAATGAAGTCGGCTTATCATCAATTGCAACAAATGAAAGCTTGTCCGAATACCACTTCTAAGCTATTTCCGTCATGGTGATCTCGTACAACCCCTATTTCACTATTTTTAGGAAACCTTATTTCCTGGTCGACCACTTCTTTCGCTTTCTTCGCCACCAATGCACTGCTCTCCACTGGCACATCCTTTATTTACCCTTCACCACAAAGGTAATACGATTCGATTAGGTTCTGCTTAGAGAAGCTCTAGAGTTCCCCAGCGTCCCATAGAAGATATTAAGCCTTCCTATGGACAGACAAAGACAGAGTATACAAGAATGAGTACCCCAGATCGGCATCGTTTAAGCCACAAAAACATAGATTCAGAACGACTGAAGCGAAACTACTAAATGTTCTGTTACTATCCCCTCATTCTTTCCGAATTTCTCCTTTGCATCTTCAGCCTTTCCTTCAGCTGCTCAGTAGGGACAACTTTTGTAAGATAATCCTGAAAGTGCCACTGGGGGCACCCTATGTTTTCTTCTTCTCTTATTTCTACACTACTCGATGTTTTCGATTGAAGGTTTTGAAGATAAGCAAAAGATCCCAAGATTTGCTTGAGCACCACTCACAGAAACTCACTCTTGAGAGTTAATCGCATCACAACGATTTGCCGTCGTCAGACGAAGACAGTTTGAGTACAAAGGCAGATTGAATGAGTTCGTAATGAATGGAATGGTCTGCGGTTTGTACTGAGATCTTTTCAGTATTCTGTCGATGACGTTATCCACCTCACAAAGCCTCCGGAACACATCAACCGAGAAGGTCTGAAATCAATCATGCAGTCATATTCATTCTTCTAAGTAACATAGAACTGACCTCTTCAGCGTTGATTTGAAAAATTATTTTTGCTGTGAAATCTAGATATTGGTAAAGATCTTGAGTTTCCAATGCCAAGTATTGAACACATGGATCAGAAAGGTCAATGGCTTTTGGTTCTATGTCGGTGCCATAATCGTTGTAGTCAATAGTAATACCTTCGACACTTGTGGTATTGATCGATATCGGTTGAATCAGCGCAAGGCCGTCTGTTGGAGGAACTGTTCTGGAAAAAGTAAGCTCAATAAAAAATTTAGTGGGTTTGTTTTTTGAGACCGATCAATCCGTTTGACATTGGGCAGTCAAAATTTTAGCAGTGTTGAAGTGGTGTACTACCAATAGCACCACCGGCGGTATATTTTACAAGACAACAGTTCTGTCCAAGCTGAATAAGTTTCTTTGGAAATGTGATTTTTGTCTTCGAAAATAATCATCGAATGTGACTCCGATTTATTCCCCACACGTCCCAATCAGACATCAAGTCTAGAGACTTTGGAAGTATTTGATCCCGTCTTGGAGTCCGCCCCGCCTAGCTCATGTAACAAGGAGCTCACCCTCTCAAATGAGTTTCTATGAGAAGCAATGAAGCGATCCTGGAGAGATGAAGGGTTCAGGTAGCCTGGAAGAGTATCTGTATACATATAAGGGATCCGAAGCTGGACCTTGCACATGTGGTAATTTGCCACTTTTAATTACAACTGTGTATTCCAGGAAACCCAAGCTTTCACCTAGCTGAAGGCAGAAGCTTCCAAGTGTAAAATACATGCTCCGGTGGCAAATTTTTCTGTTTCTCACCCCAAGGGGGCACTAATCGTTGAAAAAAGGTTCTTCGGATGGAATGAGAAAGAGGTTACAGGGTACGACGAGGAATCACGCCTCGACACCCTCCCTTCCTCCGTTGTGAAAGTATTTGGATTAGGTAAGAAGTCCCAAATGGCCATCAGTGAGCTTTTTGGTGGTTGGAAAACGGTGTTATTTGTGTGAATCATCCTCATTCCATGTTCCAAAATGGAAACAACTTCTGCTCTTTTTCCATTTCCATTCTGAACTTCGAAAGCGAGTTAGAGTAGCTGAATCTATCAGAACGGATGTAACCC